AGAATAGCGATCGGTACCTTTTATTCTAAGGTCTACGGCAGTCTTTTAAGTTGTTCTCTTTTTGTTTATGTTCATTTATATGGGTGTTCGACCTTGGTCGGTATTACATATCGTGGTTTATTAATCATTTAAACCTGTTAATCTGTTCATGCTTTCGAAATATTAAGTTCTCTAAAATCTTGTTTTTACTGTTATTACAGCATATGGACATCGATTGCAATCCTGTTCCGGGGCGTGGAGAGCTTTCAATATTTCACCTTAACTATATGAAATATCAGGGATAAATTGAACTAAACGAGGATATATCTGGTGAATATGATATTATATGCTTAACTGAAACTCATTTAGATGATCAGGTCTCTACAGAAGACTTACTTATTACTGGTTTGCATGTACCTTATCGTCCTGATAGAAATTTCGCTTTATTTTATCAATAAAGTTTTAAAAGTTGACAGTTTGCTGGAATTAGAATATCCAGGTGATGAGCTTATTTGGTTAAAAATCACTCTATCAAATTTTGTATTGGTTATTGGTTCGGCCTACAGACCTAAAAATTCGGTTTGACCTTTTTGGGAAAATTTACGTACGTCTTTAAACCTTGCTCTAGATATTTCACCAAACTTCATAACCACGAAGGATTTAAATTTCGACTTATTAACTGCATCTCGTATCCATGTTTTTCTACATATTGTTAATTCCTTTAGTATGTCAAATGTTATAAACGATCTAGTCAAACTTTTAACCGACTCACTTTCCTGTATTGATTCCTCTGTTATAAAAAAGGACAAATCATTGAGTGACCATGGTGGTTGTATTGCTTGCATTGGTATCCCTGTATTGTCAAACCTATTTTTAATCGAAAAAATTGGTGGTATAAGCGGGCAGGTTTTGACAGATTTCATTATCTTATTTCTGATTATAATTGGAACGAGTTTTTTTTTAAATTGTGATTCAGCTGATACTAACTGTAATCGTTTTACTGATACGTTCCTAAACTTTTGCAAATGTATGTATTCCATTAAAAGATGTAACTAAGAGACCTAATGATAAACCTTGGATGACCTCTGAATTAAGACAAACAATAAAAATTAGAGATAAGTTGCATAAAATTGCTAGGTCAACCAAATATCTTTCAGACATCAACAAATTCAAATCTTAACGGAATAAGGTCAATAAAACGAACAAGTATGCCCGTAAATTATTTTATGAAAATGTTCATGATATTATTGAAGAGTACTCGTCCTCTGATCCAAAAGCTTATTGAAGACTTATTAAAAGGCTAATACAATCGTCTGGTACTACATAATCTATACCTACTCTTGTAGATCCTGTTTCTGACAATTCGGTTACTAGTAACGAAGATAAAGCTAATTTATTAAAGGACTTTTATTTGAAAAATGTGTAGATGACAGAAATACTGTGGTTCCTTTCATCGGGTCAAAAACTGACAAGAGTCTTAGGTCCATTAGAGTCAATAATAATGAAATGCGAGATATTTTACAGATATTGAAGCTTGGTAAGGCCTCGGGTGAGGATGGAATCAGTCACCTTATGCTACAAAACACCTCAGAAACCGTTTGTGTTCCCCTTGAAATTATTTTTAATATGTCTTTATCGTCTGGTGTTTACCCAAACTCTTGGAAAACAGCCAAAGTTATGCTACTGTTTAAAAAAGATGACACGCATTCTCCCTCTAAATACAGGCCAATTTCTTTTATTATCTACCGTTGAAAAAGTGTTTGAGAGAATAATTTTCAAATACTTGCATAATTATTTTATTGAAAACTCACTTTTTTATAAGCACCAGTCAGGTTTTTTGTCTGGTCATTCTACTGTATATCAACTCATTGAAATTTATCATAACATTTGTATTGCTCTAGAGGGAAAAACATGCTGCGATATTTCTAAGGCTTTTGATCGGGTTTGACATTAGGGTTTGATGATTAAGTTAAAATCCTATGGAATTTCAGGAGAATTTATCAATGGTTGGAAAATTAACTATTTTAGAGGCACCAGAAAGTTTTTCTTGAATAATTCTTACTCCCACTTAGGTTTCATTGAAGCAGGTGTCCTTGGGGTTCGATTCTTGGACCTCTTTTGTTTCTTATATATATATAAATGATGTTGCTGATGTTTTTGATTCAACCGCTCGTCTATTTGCAGACGATACTTCTTTGTTAAAATCATCCTCTTCATGTCTAGAAATCCAAACGGTTCTGAATAGAGATCTCGAGTTTCTAAATGCATGGTTCCAAACTTGGTAGGTAATATTTTTTGAAACTGGTCTAGAAACTCTTTCAAATAGAAGAAAACGCAGCAACCTCAAACTTTTGTATAAAATGCACAACAAATTAACTCTAAATGATCTATAGCCGTCTACCGTTGCAGAAAATAACCGTTACACCCTTAGAAACAATAATGATTAAAGAATTCTTCCTTTAAGTCTTTCTTTAACAAATTTATCTTTTATACCTTCAACTCTTCGCAGTTGGAATTCATCGTACCTTTCAGTACGATCATTGACCTCTTTATATTCTTTCAAAAACTCGTTAACTTCAAATGTACAATCTCCTCCACCAATCTAGTTAGGTTTCGGTGAACCCAAACTAAACATTTTGCACACAAATCTAAGATATCAGTGTGGTCCATTTAAATATGATCTTTATGGAGTAAATCTTGTTGATAGTCCAGTTTGTTATTTTGGCCATCCATGTGAAAATGCCTTTCACTTTTGTTTGTGAGTGCTTACTTTTTAACAACGGAAGACGCATCCTGCTCCAAAGAATGCTTTGCATAAGGATTTCAATTTCCTGCTATTTTTGTTTGGTAATACACAATTATCGGTAGAAATCAATACAAACATTGTTAGACATGTGCATCGTTACATCAAATCCAGCAATAGGTTTTGATAATTATAATTGCTTTTCCTTATTTTATTTATGTGTGTACGTTATTACATGTGTTTGTTTATGAAATTGTATTTCATTATTTTGCCTGATTTCTTGATTCTGTTCATTTTGAAATTACTCTACCAGGCTGCATGTCATGAAATTTATATAACTTTTATTCCGTAATATACTATATATTTTTTGTGTCTATGGCATACATATGGGATCTGTATTACATGAACCGTGATCAGTAGATATCGTTGTCATGAACTGTGAACCACTTAAGTGAGTTTTTCAAGCCAATTCTGTTCCGCCCGGATTTTTGGTGGAAGAGGTCGCAATCGGCAAAATCATATCCGATAGAAAAAAGACCGACCAGCGGCCTCTTATGTTATAGGAGTTCTATATTGTAATGCCTAGTTTTATTTCTTATGGTTTAAACATTTGTGTAATACGGATATACGGTACATGTATATTTTTACATTGTAATTTGCATAATGTGTATGTGTTGGTCTGTGCAAATGTGTTATATTGAACGCAGAAGGTTCATTAGTTTGTTAATTCCCACAATCGGAGTTCATATATACTATAACTTGTAGGGTTGTTTTAATTCTTTGCTATTTTGTATGAAAGTTGTATGTATGATCTATAATAAGTTCAATTGAAAATAAGTGTTTGATATCTTACTAATAGCATTGTATGAACTGATTCACTACAATATTCTACCTGCCATACTTTTATCGATGATTCATTTATTAATTTGGTGATTTGATTAGATTGTACCAGTAGTATATATATTACTTAGTTGCCTGACATGCAAATCAAGAGAGAGAGAAATGATAATACTTTGTCAGTAGCTTAGTCTTCATATATTTCCAATTTATCATATTCTATCTGATTTTGGGTATGTCATTTTGACATGAAGATTATCAGGTTCATGATTTCGATTTGTCATTGAATATAATTGATGTCATGTTATAGTAAGATTTCTCAACACCAGTTGTACATTTCACATGTTTATTTTTGGAGGGGGGCATGTTATGTATATTTATACTGGTCTGTGATATATATCTTATTATATATTTTACGATCTAAGGGGAAATAACTCCATTCGAGAAATGACATCCTTTTCCTTTTAGTTTTTATAAGTTTTTACCTTATTCCGGTTAAGTTGTCCGGTACGATTATTATAATTGAGTGGACGGGAGAAACATTAAATGGAGACACCACACTGTGGAGTTGGTTAGTTTATTCTGTACGACTATGTAAAGCATACCACGTTATTACACGCGTTACCTACATTATTATGCGTGTATGAATAAAGGTAACACAACGAGTGGTTGTTGGATATGGTATTTATTTCACTCGAGTTAGTTAATTTTCAAAAGTTACAAAAGACACGAACTTTTGAAAATTAACTAACTCGAGTAAAATAAATACCATATCAAACAACCACGAGTGGTGGGATCTGTTTTTGTTGACAAGGCTGGCGTAGTGATATGACCCATATGTATAAAGTCACTCATTAATATTAAAAAATGACTTTACTTCACAAATTTTATAATTTTCAAAGTTATTCTTTCGGCAACAAAGTCTTTAAATATTGAAGGTATGTAACATTTCATTAAATCAAATATAAATGTAAGCATATCGAACGCAGTCTGCTTCCCGCCAAGCGATGGAGACGACTATTGTTCTTTAGTGAATTATGTAAATATATGGATTGAACGACGTTATTTTTTTTATATTTTTTAAGCCGGTATGAACGCAAATCGGTTATATCTATATTAAACATCAAGCCCTAGCCGTTCAATCCCTATCTGATAAAGGAGCAGACATAATATAAATGTCTCATAAGTAATAACGACAGTATTAGTCCAATACGAGAACTGGATCCGATGCGTTGGACGCGCATTTCTAAAAGTAATAGCGGCAGTGCGGATAATGGAATTCGTCATTATAATAACTATTAATATTTTGAAGTTCTTATATACCGCTATAGCACAAACTAGATCGTAGGTCGTCTCAAAGCGGTTCACAAATAAGGGATGTATCACTTAGGGAAAGTGGCGTTTGTTACAAGCATATACATTGTAGAAACGCTATCGCCCTTCAGCTGTTATATATATACTGTAACGCTATCAGCGATTTACCCTTTGCCAAGGAGGTGCTCACATGATCAGCTGTTATATATATACTGTAACGCTATCAGCAATTTACCCGTTACCAAGGAGGTGCTCACATGATCAGCAACATGGCAGACACACCTCTGTTGATCATTCCAGAAACACAACGAAACAGGTACATTACACTATGCATTTGTCAATATCGTAAAACGCACAGTTCATAACATGCATCGGAGTGGTCACATAGCATGTATCGGAATGGTCACATAGCATGTATCGGAATGGTCACATAGCATGTATCGGAGTGGTCACATAGCATGTATCGGAGTGGTCACATAGCATGTATCGGAGTGGTCACATAGCATGTATCGGAGTGGTCACATAGCACATGTAACGTGAATCGGAGTGGTAACACGTAGAGATAGCCCTGTATATCGGATACTATATGTAATACCACATTTGTTTATCTCTTGTCACAGATGACCCGGATTTGTGTGTAGATAGATATGTGAACGTCCACTGATAAACGTGTTATCTGTCAGATCTAATCATATATACATACATTTTTCTTTACAGTGTATTCTGATAATATCGACTGTAGATTATCCCGTTCTCATGTCTCATTTGTTTCTGAAAACAGAACAAGAATGGCAAGCAAAACAAAACAATGGAGGTGATAACGACGTCACGCAACCATAGCGTAAATAATGTTAAAACGTCTTAACCCATTGTTGTTTCAAACGCTCAGTTTGACGAGTGAATAGCAGCCGATAGGTTCCAGGCAGAAAAGGATACTAATGCAGTGAGAAATGAACATACACCACACGTGTCGTACGTAACCGTGTACTGCTAAGCTCGGAATGATGAATAAATAACTACACGTGTTACACGTGACTCTACACGTGTTACACGTGACCTTTGTATGTGTAACAATTCATGATATTTCTCATTGATTTCAACAGATATGAAAACCTCTACAGGAAGTTTACCGACAGGTTTGGTCATCCCCCGACATTCTTTGGTCGAGCTCCAGGCCGGGTCAATATCATAGGTATGAACGTCCTAATGTAACGGGTGTGTGCAGGTTAAAAATTATATAGTAGATGTCTACAGGCAATAGGCATAGACGTTATTGAGTGCGAAAGGGTCAGGGTCAGATTTCTTAACAGGCCAAGGTGTGAGCAGATTCGGGTCATAGATTTGTCATGTATATATCACACGTTGACCTGTCGTTATAATAGATTCTGACAAATCATTATTACCGGTGTTGATACTTTATTATATCAGTTATTATAGTCCTGACAAGGAATTTACTACCGAGTCTCCCTAGTGCTGACATGAATTTTACTGACGAGTCTCCCTAGTACTGACCTGAAACTTACTGACGAGTCGCCCTAGTGCTGACATGAAAGTTACTGACGGGTCGCCCTAGTGCTGACATGAAAGTTACTGACGGGTCGCCCTAGTGTTGACATGAAACTTACTGACGAGTCGCCCTAGTACTGACATGACATTTACTGACGAGCCTCCCTAGTACTGACATGACATTTACTGACGAGCCTCCCTAGTACTGACATGAAAGTTAGCGTCGAGTCGCCCTAGTACTGACATGAAAGTTGCCGTCGAGTCGCCCTAGTACTGACATGAAAGTTGCCGTCGAGTCTCCCTAGTACTGACATGACATTTACAGACGAGCCTCCCTAGTACTGACATGACATTTACTGACGAGTCGCCCTAGTACTGACATGAAATTTACTGACGAGTTGTCCTAGTACTGACATGACATTTTCTGACGAGTCTCCCTAGTACTGACATGACATTTACTGACGAGTCGCCTTAGTACTGACATGAAATTTACTGACGAGTCTCCCTAGTACTGACATGACATTTACTGACGAGTCTCCCTAGTACTGACATGACATTTACTGACGAGTCTCCCTAGTACTGACATGAAACTTACTGACGAGTCGTCCTAGTACTGACATAAAAGTAACCTTCGAGTCGCCCTAGTGCTGACATGAAAGTTACCTTCGAGTCGCCCTAGTACTGACATGAAAGTTACCGTTGAGTCGCCCTAGTACTGACACGAAAGTTACCGTCTAGTCGCCCTAGTACTGACATGAAAGTTGCCGTCGAGTCGCCCTAGTACTGACATGAAACTTACTCACGAGTCGCACTAGTATTGACATAAAAGTTGCCGTCGAGTCTCCCTAGTACTGACATGACATTTACTGACGAGTCGCCCTAGTACTGATATGAAATTTACTGACGAGTCTCCCAAGTAATGACATGAAATTTACTGACGAGTCTCTCTAGGCCTGGTTCACTTATTGACAAAACTTCCTAGGCCTGGCAAACTAACTGACGAGTTTCCTATGCGAATGTAAAGCGATCTTAGCGCAGCGTTTGATCACTCTGTAAATACAGCAGCTTTTGGTTTGTGTTACGACAGGAGAACACATAGACTACAGTGGATACGGAGTGCTACCGATGGCGATCGAACAGGATGTTGTCATAGCAGTGTCCCATGATCAGGCGTCCAATACTATTGTTGTGTCCAATACAGATCCAGCTTTCAGGTAACTTAACTTTACAATTCTATTAATTTACCAGACCAAAAACATATTTTATTGGCCAAAAATGATAAAATGGATTTGGCATCATTTTTTGGAACGGTCTATAAATATTGAAATAACAAATGATTACATAGAAAGTCAATTAGTTAAACATTAAAACATTCGCTGGATCTAATAAAAATAAAACTTTACTTATTGCTATGTATCTACAATTCCAGCTCTGAAAAGTAAAACATTTCCTGTGTTAATATTGTTTTTCTTATATGCATTATTTTGAAAAAGGAGTTCATGGCAAAGTAGAATTGCAAAAAATGAATAAATAGAAAAAAATTGTCATTGTGTTCATACTTATTTAACATAACATGTGATTTTAGGGGATTTTTTTGGTTTTGACCATTTGCAGAACAAAGATTTAACGTTTGATATATAAGCTCTTTTCCGGTAACATGTACGAACAATTGAAGTCATGGTAACGTCGAAATACTATGCTTCCAAAATCCTTCGTCACGGAAGTAGCTAGAATAGAGTTACCGCGGTCCTATTTTTACAATGCTGTTTAGCTTTGCTACACATTCTCAAAAATATCTCTTTATTTGATATTTTTTTCTGCGGTTATGTAAATTCATGACAATAAAAATTATAGAAACTGAAGCTTCTTTCAAATTTTCAGTCTTTTCTTCTCTCCAATCAAACCGGAAGTATACAGTAACTACCAAACCAGACGGAAATCCGGATATGTTTGGGCTAGTGTGATTCTCTTTTTACACGGTTTAGAGGGATCAGGCAAAGTATATCATGTCGGAAAATAAAATTGGAATTTAATCACCAATATACTTAACTTTTATAATAACAGATAATCACAGTTATATTTGATAAACAATACATCTTCAAATATGAGAGTCCCTCTACTGGGCCTCACTCTTTCCGCAACATTACGCTGAGGCCATAGACGGGGCAATTAAATGCAACAGTATCAAATGCATTTGTGTTTTCTCTTGAACTGCATAATTCATTCGAATGTTTTTCTTTACTTATTATTAATTTTACATTAATTACTTTATCGCTATAAAACTAATAAATAGTTATTATTTTAAATAATGTTATTTAGAAAATAAGATCGATAAAAAACAGCATTTAGACGCTTCGCTCGTTTCAGGCAATGCCTGTTTTCAAAATGAATGATTTTGCCCATCAACAGATTCAAGTATAATATATAAAAAACAGGTACATTTTGTATGTATTAAAATTGGTAATGTTATGATTCAAAAATTATACTATACTATCGAAACAAATGTACGAGCTTCGCTCTCTCCAGGCCATGCCTGAGTCATATTACAAGTGCTTCGTGAATATAGCATATTGAACATCACAAATTAAAACCGGATACACATATCAATCACATTAACCAGAAACAGAATAATTATATAGGTCTTTAACCTTCGTTACAATATCGAGAGAAGGAGCGATACACAAGGGACTTGCATAAGTCCGTGATTACACGCACTGGAAAAAAGATCATTGTCTGCGCTGTAGCAGCCTCATTCCTTGAAGGATTTCCATCGATTTGTAACACTAATTAAGGACCATAATATCAGTCAAGTTTCAATTTTAGGGCTGTTGGGTCAAGGTCATCGTTACTTACTTTTATACTGCTAATGGTAGCCAGTAAGGGACCTATATTGTTTTAGCAATACTCTGCTTGTTATATATATTTTTATTAAAAATTATGATTAAGGGATGGGCTATTATGACTCTTACTCAACAACATGTTCTTTATTATTTACTGCCATTCTGTACTGATATACCACCTCCTTTATTCCATGTTTTGAATCCTTCAAACACAGCATCCATGAGTGCCCCCGGCACTTTGATTTTTAATATTTAAGGAATCAATAGACCATGTGCTTCTCTTTCTAAAACAGCCACAAAAATGGCGGGTCCGTGAGCGTCTTTTTCACCCATTATTATTTGTGTTATTTTTTACCTATTTCGGGGGTCAAAAACGAAAGTGCTGAAGTTACACTAAATATGTCAAAAATTACCAATCATGCATAATTTTCCACTTTGGTGCATACTATTGTCATCATATTGAAGATAATAAAGTTGTTCAGCAAAAATGAAAATCTTGCTATTTCCAGAATGACCGCCAATTTGGTCTTTTTATAATTCTTGTAAAAAGGTTCTACAAATGTACAAACAACAGGCATAATGTTTTTGGACACATTTGTCAGTTACGTGTTTGCTATTAAAATTGATCATAACTTTTTAAATATTACAAAATCCTGTTACCATAGATCAAAACGAGACTTGAACGTGATTGAAACCTCAGAAGAGTACAATCTTAAGAGTACAATCCAATGACTATAAAACCACTGGCAATATAAATACACATCATCTCGTGATGCAGTTTATGAAGTTGTCAGAAACAAAAACAGAGTTTCAGGGATCCAACTTTAAACCTACCAAAGAGCACATGTTGAACTTTACCGAAGTCGATATCTAGGAAATGTAAACACACGGTATCAAAATGAAAGCTGGATACCTTTCCATGAAAGTAACTCTAAGCCAGAAATGTAAAAGCAGCGTTGAAGTACTTTGTGCAGTGATACCCTTTATCTTAAGGTCTTAAACGTATACAAATTACTCCAATTTGTGTCTGCATATAGAAATGCTATATATTTACTATAAATGAGTCAAAAAATTCTTTTTCAGAGATTTCGAATGTGATAAAAATGACATAAATCTGAACAAAATATCTCCGGAATGGTACAACTACTTTCTCTGCGGCGTGCTCGGTGTACACCGCCATCAGGGCTCGCATAGGCAACACGTCGAGGGCATGGCCTGCATGGTTTCCGGAACAGTGCCGATCAGTGCAGGCCTATCTAGTTCCAGTGCCTTGGTATGCTGTTCTGCTCTCATCACCATGCATGCAAATAGACGCTGTATTCCAAAGGTGATTTGTAGTATGTCTTTATCATATATTCCAATAGACTGTACCAAAGGAAGACAACTATACATCGCTGTGTTCGTCACCAATAAACTGTACCAACGGTAGACAACTATACATCGCTGTGTTCGTCACCGTGGACGCTTACAGGATATATTGTGTCATTTTATTAGATGTCATCAGGCTTGTTGAAAAACATTTTGAAGTCTTTATTCCCTCGATTACACATAAACACAGTGAGTTAAATTAGGATAACTGGGTTAGGTTTTAAAGAGGATGACTTTTCTATATTTTAAACGAGTGCCTGAGATATCTCTCTGATAAGACGCCTGTTGTCCTGAACAACTGCTTTTCTATTATGTTACGAACATTGTATATCGTAAAGTCTTATGTTAATATGTATCACTAGGATAAACTGGTTGACTTGAGTGCAGACTGTGAAAACTTCATGGCAACGTCAACAGAAGGAGGAAACATGGATCAGGCGATAGCGTTCATGGCAGAGGAGGGGCTAGTAAGTAGGTCAATTATCTTCCACTATCTAGGATTTCAGGTAGACTTCACAAAAACGCTACCCGTAGATTGGCAGCACAGGGACCATCACATTTGGTTCAGTTGGTACATGTATGTTAGAACCTAAGCTGATGTGTTCAGAACAAGAATATATACCATTATTGAAGTTGTTGGTTTTACTGACATTTGATTTAAACCCCTTAAACGACCAATGCTTCTCTGTACACATCAGTTTAGGTCCAGACATACACGATGTAAAAAAATCTCAAATCCAATAAAAATAAATGCAACATGCACTGTGCAGTAACATATACCCTGTGTGATACACACGTGTCTAAACAAGCTGACATATACAAATGTAAAAGGCTGAGTTGGTTTTGAAATTAAACAGTTATTGAAAAGTTATTTGAAAGGTTTGCGAACTTTTGAAAACGTCTGTTTCCTTTGTCATAGAGCAAATTATTGGTGGCATGACTCTAAACTGCTGAAGCTGAAAACAACTCACTAAGCCACAATGTGCCGAGTCAATAAAATCAGCTATCAGAAATTATTAAGACATTCGCTAAATATCACTTTCATGCTGCAGGCAGTCAAACGGATTGGTTATATGTTACTAATTCCATCCCTTAGTAGATGCTATAATGGGGTCAGTAAGATGACTTATCTGATGCCCTCCTCATCTCGATTCTCCTTCCCTCCTAACCAAGATGGTTTCTTTGATTGTCCTCACTTTCCAATTGACCTCCCTTTCGCACTTTCGAGTTGTGTCAGTCTATGATGTGGCTGTGTGTGTTAGCATGATCTGTAACGACTGATTTATTGTATTGTTTCTCCAGTGTCCTCCTTATCTTTTAGTGTAGACTTGATGTTTCGTGGCTTCAACGTCTTCCTGGTTTTCTTTTAGGCGTGTCCCAAATTTTCGGCTAGTTTCCCAGAGGTCCCTTTTTGACGTTTTTGTGTATGCCTTTTAAATTACTTTATAAGGAAAATATAGCAGATACATGTATGTTGTTTGTCCTGGTATGGAGCCTGTTTGTTGACTGACAAAGGGTCATAATGTACAAGGTGTATGTTGACTGATAAAGGGTTCTAATGTACAAGCGTTTGTCGACTGATAAAGGGTCCTAATGTACAAGGTGGTTGTTGACTGACAAAGGGTCATATTGTACAAGATGGTTGTTGACTGACAAAGGGTCATATTGTACAAGGTGTTTATCGACTGACAAAGGGTCCTAATGTACAAGGTAATTGTTGACTGACAAAGGGTCCTAATGTACAAGGTGTTTGTTGACTGACAAAGGGTCCTAATGTACAAGGTGTTTGTTGACTGACAAAGGGTCATATTGTACAAGGTGTTT